TTCGACGCTTTCAACACTTTTGCTGCCCCAAAATCCTTCTAAGTCCTTGGAACGGCCTGGGCCACAGCAGGCAGCGTTGTTTTCCCCTTCCCTGTTTGTGCACTTGCCCTGGCACGGCGCAGTGCGAAGCGGGCAGCGCCGCAGCTGAGGTGGGCCAAAGCGGGCAGCGCTGCCAGAGGCCGCGGGGGCGCCTTAGGCGAAGCGGGAGCGCCGCAGCGAGCGGGCAGCCCTGCGAAAGAAGAGTGGAGAGAGACAGCGCCGGTGGAGAAGCAACCGCGAACACGAGACTCCTTCCAAAAGAAGAGGAGAAAAAGTAAACAAAAGAGCGGCGCGAGCTGCCGCTGCTCGCGGCTCTTCCAGCTTCACCGCTGGAGCCTCGCCCTCCGTCTGAGCAGAAGCTTGCTCCGCAGCTCGGGAAAGCTTTGTTTGGCTCCTGATTCCCCTCCTTTTCGTTCCGTGTTGATCTTGACGTCCAGTTTGTTTTGAACTGATCGCGTTCAACATGTGTTGCGTGAGCTTGCGTGGGTTGCTTGTTCAAGCATGTTGATGCCGGATGCAATTCTTGGCAGTGGTTGGCAGGATGCTGCCCAGGCTTGTTAGATCAGAAGCCCCCCACCCGTTCCCACCCTGATTTGGGATCTGAAACGATTCGCCATGGTCTGAGTGCGAGATCGTCCGGCTTGTCAAGCAGCATCTGCGTTTGCGATCCCCGCAAAGGCGGTTTCGTTGCATTGGCATGTTCCTCCAGAACTACGGCCGGCCTTTGCCCGACTGGCTGTCCAAGTCGTTGCCGCACGAGAAGGCGGTGACAGACTTGATCGCGTCTGCGCTGCCAGCTCCTTGCATGGGGTTTAGCTCTTGGTCTAGATTCAAGATCAGGAGCTTTGGAGTTCAATCGTGAAATGCTCACCAATCGCACGCCCGATGGGTTTGGCACACTCATGTGGTTGAGAGGCAGTGACAGGGCAGTAAGTCTAAAACATGGTTCATATAGAGTTTTTGATGGTAGTGGTCCAGTCAAAAGGTAGACACTTGGTGTTACAGATGGTTTTTATGTGACACCGAATAATTTTGTTGCTGCCAGTGTTGTTGGTGTTATTAACCCTGCAATCATTACTCTTTTATGTCATGGCCTAGTAAACATTGCTTTTGCTATAGGATGTTGATGTGCTTGGGAAAATCTTTTCTACTGGTAGTTCAACTTGTGATAGTATGAATGTTGCTTTTGGCAGTAAAATACTACTGCTACAAACTGGGAGCTATAAGTATGTCCGTGTGCTTTCATCTTTTGGTTTGAGACTACGGATGCTAATTCTTCAAGTTGGAATCTAACATAGTTGGAGCAGTTAATGTTTGTACTGGATGGTCTTTTAATACAAGCGCTGCCGATGAAAGAAGTAACCCTATACCACCTAACAGTGGTGCGCTCGTAACTGTTGATATTAGTATGGCAACACCAGTCGCTTTGTTTAGCAACTCTTTGATTTAGCAACAATTTCATTTTCAGACCATATTTCTTCCCGGAAAAGGAATAACGATGGGAACGATCGAAGTATCAACTTATTACGACGGAACAACCACACTGCCCACATGCTGGCGCATGACAAGCACACCCGCTCCAGCGCACACTCGCCGCACTGCCCACATGCTGGCGCATGATAAATACGCGCGTTCCTGCGCGCGCCCGCCCACGTGCTGGTGCATGATAACTGTTGGTTGTTGGTTGTTGGTTCTTGATGCATTATTTCGAACATCAAACGCAGCATCTGGAGCGGCGGATAGTTTAACTACACCTTCTGCTTGTTATCTCTTGGTAAGACTCTTGGAGCAACAATAAACACTGGAAGTTTTACAATTTGCAAAACCGCAGGGCAGGCAACTTACTAATCAACTCGCCTGATTTGTTGGCCTCCGCTTTTTCTCTTCGCGCCACGCATTCTTGTAGAGATTTACTTGTTAAAGTATCTGCTCGGGTCTTTTCACTGACTCTAGAGTTTTTGGTGTGTGTTATAATGTTGTTTTCATTGTTTTCTACTTTGACCAATACGCGTGCAACTGTATACTGCCTCCGAAGTAACACTAGCAACACTAGATATTTTTCCTATGTACGCTTGTCTCTCCTGACAATAATTCCAATTTCCTTCGGAACTGTTTGTTTCTTTGTCAGCTACGCAGCCTGTATGAGTTTTGCTACTAGCATTTCTAACGTGTCTTTTGAGATTCTTCAACTGAAATTCCTTACTAGTATTCATACAATTAGATTTGGCACTGTCTATGTCATATTTCAACCGCGGGGCCACTTGAATCAAACGAATGTTCCGTTCATCGTTTCTGCTACGCAACAAACTCTTTGTTCCAACGCTTCATTGGTTAAAATGATTAATCTTGACTTGAATTACCAATATCTGAAACTATATCCGTTGCAATAGTTGATGAAGTAGTGCGACTTGTTTCCCAACCTTCAGCAATTCCATCATTGCAGAGCGGGTGTCGGAACCTTAGTAGTTTAAAGCTTTTTAAGGCTTGCGCGCACAAGAGCTACAGCGCAAGACAGATTGTCCCCTGTGATAGGACCACTGCTTTTGCAAAGTTTCAATGTCATGATATTTTTTATGCCAAATGTATTTTACATCCTTCAATCATCTGAAACTCTTGTTGAACCACCATCAGTCTCAGTATCAGTTTCATCTTTACGGTCAGTGTCAGCACAGCTTTGTAACTGACGTAGTTTCGTTTTTACTTCAGTAAATTCAATATGAGAGTTAGTGGTGATGTGGTCAGAAGCATCTTTCATTCAAAAAGTTTTGTCACCTTCACAATCAACTAGTTTCGTTAATCTTGCTGACGGTATTGCTGAGTCTGCTTTGGTGTTCTTTCGCCGAAAAGCCTTACAGGCTCCCGATCATTTTGACCATCAAAAATTTCAAGCGTTCCATATGACGGCGTACATTTTTTAAGAGATTTTAAGAGACTGTTCAATCTTTCTAGAGAACATTTCACCTACGCTGTGAGAATTCATATTAGCATAAAGGAACGAGTAGGGCTTGTGGTCTACCGCTTTATGATATTCAACTCTGGTACACTCTTCAACTTGAAGATGCGCAACGAACCTGGTTTCAACCTCATGATTTGTGCTCGCTCAGACAAAAACTAATCGCATCGTGTCTCCCTCCCGTTGCCAGTCCGTGTAATAACGTGCTGTGTCTGCCGGATATGGGGTCGTTTGCAACTCATCTACAATGCTGAATGCGGTTTCTTGATCTTCTGTTGTGTCGTATAATGAGCAATCTTTGCGCTTTACTGTCTTCTCCCGGTCCTTCGAGTTGGTCAAAGTGCAACTTTTCTTTTTCGTCGCCAAGCTTCATCATTGCTTTTTGGTATCTGCTTATTTCAACAAATTCAGGGTCATCGTAGAATTATTTTGCGGGCGAAGCAAATGAGGTTGTGAATCAAGCCTGTTTTGGCACCAATGGGTGAAGCAACAAGGATGGAACGAAAGAGTAGTTTTGGCGCATGCGCATAGTTGAGTTGTTTCAACTCGCGTCCGGTTATGTGTGTGGGTCGTACTGTGTGAGCGTTTGACACAAAATTTTACCAAACAAGAAAATAGTTTTTAGTTAGTGTTGTGTGGAACATCTTGCGCGCATGCTGGATGCTAAGTAGCACGGAATGGGACAGGCTTTCCATCGCTTCAATCAATACGCGTTGAAGAAAACTAATTTGAACCCCACTTTTGTGCGCAGTGCAGTGTGAAGAGCTCCGTTGCCCCGGGGAAAACGACGGCGATCCCGAGTGTGCTAAGCAACAAGATTAGCGGCTAAATTGTCTTATTATCTATAAGGGTAGAAGCTTTCAATTGAGTTGAATCTAAGAGATGAAGTAGAGAAAGTGGGGCAAGTAGCAATAATTGAGAATAAAAAAGCAAAGTTGCGGGTATCCACTAGAACTATCTATTCAATAGATAAAAACGGAAAGCGCGATTTTAGTATAATTGGGAAAAAGGCACAAATAGTCAGATAGCCGTTTTTTTGCAAGAGGGTCAAGGTTTTTTGTTAAGGTGTTTGTTCTTGGGGGCGGGGGGGGGGGGTTGGCCCTTGAAAGGGGTACCCTTTATGACCTTGAAAAACTTGTTTTTGAGACAAGGATATGTAAAGAAAACGTGGCCTAGTTCTTGGAGAAACCGGGAATGTTTGGGGGCAAGTTTGCTGGAGCTGTTTCAGGGGGATTTCGCTGATGGTCCAAGCATTCTTGCGCAGGTTTTTTCCGGGGAAGCCTTGTTGGTCCCTTCAGTTTAGTATTGGCGGTGGGGGGAAGAGGGGGAGACCTGCCTTTGTACCTGGAAGACCGCCAAGTTAATGAGCGCCCCTCATTGCTTTTGGGCTGTGTAGTGTAGTGCTTGGTCAAGGGGTCTCCCAGCTGTGCGTGATTTTCTTGCTGTTAGGGCGTGCCAAAAAGAATTGAGGGCCTCACCGTGTGTCCGCGCAGCTTCCTGGCGCGTTGAGCGGCGCTGGCTCTGCGTGTTTGCTCAGATCTGCGCGGAACGCAGCCACCCTGCGTAAAACGTGGCCACTGAGGGTTGAAGGGGGCTCGAAGTGTCGCCGCGAAAGCTTGCCATTGCCGTCCGCCGCGCCCCAGCGCTCGCCACTTATTGCCCTTTTTGGCAGGCGGGCGTCTGCACGCGCCTGGCGCTGTCTGGCCCCGACCGGAAGAGTCTGTCGTGCGTTTCTAGGATGCTGAGTTCGCTGACACCGGGACCGTCAAGGGCATGCTGGGAGGAACAGAAGCGCGCCGACTAACACGTGTATGCCAATGCTGCCTCCGTTTTGGCTTAGGGAAGCTAATGCTGACGGACGAACGTGCCTCCCTGCCGGGGCTTCTTGATCTTAAGCGACCGGGGGCAAAACAAATTCGATTTGTAATGTTTTTGGGTTTCGCAGCTCCGAACTGCACAAACATCAGGAGGACAGGTTTTGGAACACCCATGTGAAAAACCCTTTGAGGCGGCGTGGTGCTCTACACCAGGGGCCGCTCCTCCTGGCGCCGCATCCGGGACCCGCAGAAGCTTGAGCCACTGTTCCGCGGCAAGGCCGCACGCGCGGGCGAGACGGAGAGTTTCAAGGTAGTCGCAAGATTGCCTTCGCTCAGAGGCGTGTGTTGTGCTTTTTTGACGGGGTTGCGAAGGGTTGGTAAAGTTGGTAGCCTTTTCGCGCAGCAGGATGCGCGAGAGGACGCGCAGAGCAACACGCACGAGGGCGCGCGCAGAGCAAGAGACGAGAGCTCGTGTCGAGCGTGCGTGTTTGGAGCAAGACGCGTGAGACCACACGCGGAACAAAATGCACGACGCGCACGCGCGGCAAGTTGCGTGAGAACATCTGCAGGAAATTGTGCGAGAGAACGCGCGCGCGAGAGAACGCCCGTGGCAAGTTGCGCCCGGGAGCACGCGCCAATTGCCCGAGAGAACGCGCGCAGCCAATTGCACGAGCCGACTTACGCGAGAAAGCTCGCGTGAGACATGTCGCGCGAGAAATATGGACTCGAAGTTTAACTAGTGTTTCAAGGCGGCGTGGTGGAGCGAAGGCAACTCTGCGAAAACAGCACTCTTGGCGGGGCGGCACGTTGGTGTGGTTGATGTTGGCCTCTTGACGCTTTGTGTGGATTGGTAGAGGTTCAAGCACTGAGGCTGTCACGACTAGTTGAATTTGCGCTTCAACTTGTGTTGGAAGGCCCTCAAGTGGTCTCGCTACTAGGTGCCAGGCATCAAGGAAACTCACCGCGTTGGCTGAAAATACTGAGGCAGACCCCTTCTCGTAGACATCGTTGAGCTTCATGCGCATGACGCCCTATCCTTATTTTCCGCTATGTCAGAGATGTTTCTGCGCTGAGCTTTGCTTGTTGGGACCAACCTCAGCACCTCCACAGTAAACATGTCCTACTTGCTCTGGCCGTATGTTCCTTGTTTTGCGCTTTGCGGATGTTATAACGGCGAACGCATGTTCGGAAGGTGAAAGGGGCAGAAAACGTGTCCTATTCGCTCTGGTTGTATGTTCCTTGTTTCGCGCTTTGCAGATGTTGTAACGGCGAATGCGTTTTCGGAATGTGAAAGGGACGGCAAAGGTCTTTCCGTATTCTTAGCACAGAGGAAAAAGGCTTACAGTCATGCCACTGGGCTTGTGCAAACCAATGTACGGCACAGCATTGCATCATTGAGCAGCCACTCCCTTTCAAGCAACACAGAGCTAGCGTAATGAGTTCAGTGGCGTGTCGAAATTTTAAGCAATCACTGCTTAAATAGCTGCCCGCAAGTTTGCCGCCAGCTGTTTCTGTTCATCACTGTGATGGCCAAAGTTAAGCCATTAGTAAAATTGGGTGATGACTTGTAAGAAGCAAACATGTGCGTTGGCCTTACTGCAAATTTGCCAGCTAAATGAAAAACTCAACCTTTGCAAATAAGCAACAGTAACTGCATTGGACAACGCATGCGTGTGGGTAGCGCGGTACGCAGGCAGTGCCCTCTAGCTAGCCAAGCAAGCCTGAATCAGGCTTGGACAAGTTGAAGCTTGTGTTGACATGGATCTGTTTTACCCTGCGCTGAGCCAAGCAAACAGTCAACTGACAATTCATCCGTTCAGGTTTTCAGGAGACACCTGCCCAAAGTTTGTCCAATCATCTTGTGGCACTATTGGGGCCCTGAAATTCGGCAACTTTGTCGGGATTCTTGCGATGCTACTCTGACGCTGTGGTTCTCCAAGAACTCGTTATAATAGTTTGTCAACGGTTCGTTAATGGCTCGTCTTGCTTTTTCACGTCGTTGGGCAATTCTTGCCAATTTTGCTGGAGACGTTTGTACAATATTGACAAACTACATGACTACCGAGAAACTATTGCCAAACCATTAGCGGATAACAGCATCAACAAGTATTTTGGAGAAGTTAGCCAGGAATTCGTCAATAGTTCGTCAACGGTTCGTCAACGGTTCGTTTATGTTTCACCCAGTTCGTCAATGTTCGTCAATTTTGCTGGAAAAGTTCGTACAATATTGACGAACCGCCTCACTTCCGAGAGACTATTGACGAACTATTGACGAACAGCAATGTCACAAAATATTTTGGAGAAGTTCGCCAAGAGTTCGTGTCAACGGCGGCCAGCTCGTCAATGTTTGTCAATTTTCTGGAAAAGTTCAGCAATGTTGACGAACCACCTCACTTCCGAGATATTATTGACGAGCCATTGAAGAACCACAGTGTCACAAAGAATGTTGGAAAAGAAGCAGCGAAAACAAACGATTGAGGAATGCGTCTTGGAAACCAGGGGAAAAGCTGATTCGCAGACTTCGCACTGACGACCGGGAGAAACATGCCATGTCACGCTCTATTTCGCTGACTTCTAAGTGCGAACTGTGTGATAATGTTCACACTCACGCGGCCCGCTCGTGAAAATGCACCGTTACAAGGTAACAACAAATGACTTCCAAACCGGCTTGGTTGGCAAAAGGGGGTTTGGGACAACACTTTATCACCCATTCAGGTTGGGCGTTGGGCAGCCCATCTTGAGCTAATACTTTGCCTCTACTGCTTTTTGGCCCAGGAGATGGCACACACTCAAGGTAGCAGCATGAGCTACATGCTGATTGTGCTGGCGCCTGCTGGCATTGCACTTGTTTCATTGTCCACCTATGAAGTGAAAAGCGCGCTTAGGGTGATAAACAAAAGGCCCATGATTCTACCTTGGCAAAATGTTTTGCATCTTGGGTGCATGAACATGTGGCGTGGAAAGAAACATACTGATGCTTGATGACGATGATTCTGCTTGCGGTGCCTCTGTCTTGTCGCTGCAATTACATGCGTTCCCTACGGTGTCAGGTTGTAACATAAGATATTTTTACTTGCGCCAAAAGGCTGCAGGTTCAGAGAGGATTCATAAGAAAGACACGCGCAGCATTGGATTGTGCTTCTTTCAACTTATAACTTGGCCGCTAGGTAGAAGTCCAACACTCGTTTGAGTTGAACCAAATTGGCTCTGCGAGCACGAGGCACGCTCATGCTTTGTGCACTTGCCAAATCTAATGGAACGGGCAATATGCAAAAATGGCGCATTGTGCAATGAAACATTGCCGGAAATAGTAGTCTTAATAGTAGCCATGTTTTTGCCAGTTCCTGCTGTGAATGAAGCTGCTTGCATGCGATTTACGTAAGTTACCTCTTACCAGCCCAAGCATTTCGCATTTTGCCCCGAAAACACCAACCGGCTTCGAACGCCCTAGCAGTCTAAGGGCAGGGATGCGGGGAGACATTCGCGTCTGCGGCATGTCTGGAAGGACCCGGCGCTGAACAAGTGCTAAAATTGTCAGCAATGCTAGTAGTGGTGATTGCACTTGTAAAACCCTTTCTTCTAGACAACTAGCCAACCACGTTAAAATTCGAAAGCCATACACAATTGCTGGAGTCAGCAAAAACAATGCCCGTATGGAATGGCACGCTGCCCCAGGAAACCTCAATGGAAATAGTAGACAGCGCGCCCCTTTTGTACCGCCGCGCACGGTTTTGCTCTGAGTTGTTAAGCTAAAGGCCGGCGCGGGGCGCGAGATGTTTAGATGTGGGTTGGCCCGAGCTGCGGGCCCGTAGGAGTTTCGACTTCAACCGATGCGCGCTGGGACGCGGGCGCCGGCGGAGAAAGCCGCGCGCAAAAAGCGCAACTTGCACAGAGATGGGAAGAAACACAGAGTTGTGCAGAGAAGCTTGCGCGGCGCACTTGCGCAAAGCAGCGTGCGTCGGGAGCTCTGAAACAACGAGGAAACACCTTGCACGCACAATCGCTTGATGATTGTCATCATGCCTTCATCAGAATTGTGATATGATGTAGTTTTAAGACGCGCGGACCCTGACTTGAGTACTTAATGGTGTGGATTCGCATGGTTTTCATGGTTTTCATTTTAGTCATAGGTCGTTGAAGGTGATCTTGGCTCGCACACCCAGCTGGTTTCGGGGCGAATTCTATCTAGCATTGCCGCGGACACGATGGCAGCTGTCCTTGGAATTGGGGGTGTCGTCACCTTGCTTGGTTCATGTGCGATTTGAGCTCCTGCCTTCAGAGTTCAAGCCACCGCTGCAGTGCTGCCAAGTAAGGCGCAGCGCCGGAGTGCCGTTGTGGAAGAATTCAACTTAAGAACAGCCCCGCGTGCGAAGCGCGACCAGGGGGCGAATTGGCCGGAACTGAGTACCACTTATACTAGACAAACACAGCGTGTGCCATTTTCTGAATCTAACTCCACGCATTATGCTCATGTTTGTCCGTCCCAGCTCCGCCACACATTTGCTCCTGATTCATCCGGTAGTGCCGAGTTTGATGGCTAGCGCAGCTGCGCAATCGTCGCCTTCCTGCCTCTCACGTTACCTTTTCGACCATTTTGCCCGTTTGCTTGCTTTTCAATTGTTCATTGTTTGTATTTTCGTTTTCGTCACATGTCTTACGTTTCCCGCTTTCCCCCTGTTTCTTAAGACCATGAGTTCACTACTTCTAGACCCCCTGTTTCCAAAACCCTCCGATCGCTGCGGAGGTAGTGCCTCACTTTTGCAAATCTTCGGGTAGTAGCTCTGCGCGCACGACCTCCATGCAAGGTTTTCTGCGCAAGTGCTGCGTGTAAGTTCAGCGCGGGTTTGCTCGGCAAGCCGTTTGCGCACGATCTCCACTCTCAAACTAGTCTGCTCACAGCTTTCTACGCCAGTTCTCGACGCAAGTTCCTGCGCGCAAGCTGTCTGCGCAAGTTTCTGTTCGCAAGCTTTTTCTTGCAAGTTCTCGACGCAAGTTGCTCTGGGCACAGAGTTAACGCACTGAGCAACGTGTGGCGACGAAACCGCCAGCGCCGACGCCGAGCAAGACGTGGCAATTGCAAAGCTGCCGCTGGCTTGGCGCGTGGCCGGACCCGTCGCCGCGGGTTCGACGCAAAAGCGCCATGAGACCTGCGGAGGGGAGACGTAGGTTCCGAGGAAGAAATGCGGCTCCGACGAGCTTCCATTGGGGTGTGCGCAGCAAAACCTAACTGAAACGAACCATTTCGAGGGTTGCAAAGAAAGCCACACCCACGCACCAAAGGAACGCATGGCTTCTCCCTGCCTTCGGAGCTGAAAAGCTCAAGGCTTCGGCAGGCGATATTCATCGTATGCGTGCAAACTATACAGAGATAGTGTTTTATTGGTTTGCTTCTATTTTGAACACCATATGGGCGCGCGCAGGAATAGTTGCGTGTGGGCCGGAAACCTTAATCAAGCGATTAATCGTATGTTTATATTAATATAGAGATATCGAATGTCGGTTTACTTATGTTTCGAGCGTGCTCCAGTAAATTCCGAAAAGGGGTGGCCTTCCTTTCCCTCTAACCTAACCCCAGACGGCACCGAGCCCGAAAATACATGAACACTACGGGGAAGGGGGGGGGCCAGTTAGAATACTTGCCTTTAGACCGGCAAACCTTCCTCAGGCGATGAATCGTACAAATTTATGTGTGAGTATTGCCAATAATAAGTTCAGTATTTTTAGCATACCGAATAATTCAGCAAGGGCCGTATGGTTTTCGAAAGAACCATGTTCTGATAACTGCGCACTTCTCGAATTGCTTTGGACTGCCAGGGCTAGGTTTACACACGCGTACGGTTAATCGCCCGGTGAAGTTTTGCCGTCTAAGGGAAGCATTTTTCGGAAGATACTGGGGCAACCTCAAAGAAGAAGCGAACCAATTCTTGTAATTATTTAGAAATGCATGCGGTTAATCGTTGGATGAAGGCTTGCCGGCCTAAAAGCAGTTATTCTATCTGTGCGCCCCACGGTGTTCATTTAAAAGGTTTTGGCTCGGTGCCGTTTGGGGCTGGGTTGAAAGGAAAAGAAGGCCACCCTTTTTGGAATATACTGGGTTTTCCTCAACCAGCAAACAAATATTTATTATCTGAAAATTTGTGTCCATCAAAAGTATGCGCGCGATTAGTTGCCTGACACAGGCTTGCCCGCCCAAGAACAAATCCTCCAAATGTACCCGCAGCCCGAGGGTTGCCGGCGCCCCCTAATCTTTAGGGTGTAGGTTTAGGGCTTAGAGTTCGGGTTTAGGTTGGGGTGAGGTTTAGGGTGCAGGTTTAGGGTTTAGGTTTAGGTAAACAGGTTTAGGGTGTAGGCTTAGGGTTTAGGTTTAGGGTAGGTCTATGGTGTAGGTTAGGTTTTTAGGGTTTAGGGGGGTCAGGTTTAGGGTGTGGTTTTAGGCTCTAAATTTAGTTTCAGCTTCGGGTTGTGGTTTAGGGTTTAAGTTTAGGTTCAGGGCTTCGGGCTCAGGGTGTAGGTTTAGGATCTAGGTCAATCGCGCGCCGCAGGCCAGCCGCTAGCGCGTGCTTCGAAGCTCTCAATAAAAGTCGGCTAGCTAAAGTCTCTGCCTTTCGACGAGCCGAGCTGTGCTTGCTTCTGTGAGCCTAATTTGAGCACGTTGCAACGAAGACGTCAAGCGCTTCAGGCAGCTGAGGTCTGTAGTTTCAAGCGTCGGGGCATTGCTTTGGGGTGCAGGCAACCCTCAGGGGCTGGCCGTAACTGTAGCCCCCTTGGTTTTAAAGCTCTTTGCAGAATCCATGGCGCACACATGTGTATGTATATCTTTACGTATATGCAAACGATATATCGCCTGATGAAGGTTTCTCGGCCGAAAACACCCCCCCCATGGTGCTCATGCAAAGTTTTGGCTCTGTGCCGTTTGGAGTTGGGTTAAAGGGAGGAGGGGAAGGCCACCGCTTTCTGGAATATACTTTGGAGGTCCTTCAAAAAAGAGGCAAACCAATATTGGTATATAACTATTTTTGCATATGGCAACACGACAGATAGTGCTCGGAGGACGAGCTCCCCCGCTTCTGGAACCAAAACGAACCTTCCCGGATTCAATTTTTTTAAGGGGTTGAAGCGCTTCAAAAGCTTGCTAAAAAAGGTTTCTTTTGTCAATGCTAAAATGAGTACTGGCCACATAAATGTATCATTCCAGCAGGGTTCATTGGTTTGGGAAGGAACTTTCAAAAGTTCAAACTCTTCTGGAAAGTATTCGATTTAGGCAGGGGGTACTATTCGAGAAGTGTGTTATCATCAGAGCAGAGCCGAGACATCCCATTGGTCAAAACATATTCTATCTGCTGGCCACTTGAAAGGGGGTTCAAACTCCATGTTGCATGTCTGCCCCTAAATGTGTTCTAACTGTAGTCTACATTCTAACTGTGATTTTGTGTTTCCGGAGTAGCTTTTCTTCCAACTTAGGAGCCAACGGAGCAAATTACATTCTATCTGCAGGCCCGCTACTATAGACGGCGCGTGAAAGGTTTTGCTCACAGCTGCGCAAATGTAGCTGCAGTGAACGCGCTTCGAAACAAGCGCCGCAGCAAGAGCGCTTCGACATGCGCGATCTACGCAGAGGGGGTGCGTTTCGGCAGCCCCCGTCGGTCATCTGGATGGACCTCAGGCTGAGCAAGCGCAACTCCGTAGGATTTGGGTCATGATGGCTGAACAGCAGGAATAAGACGAGAAGAGGCAGCCCATGAGGATGGGGGACGCAACAGCACAAAGAAGATGCAGATTCTGCAAGAAAACGCTGGAAACGTTAGCTCGGTCCAAGCCGGCCACTGGCGGGATGGACACGGGGTGCTGACGATCTTGGAAAAACCGGCGTCAAGAATGCCGGGCAAGAGCGTCAGTAGAGGACTAGAGGCCGGGCTCGAGCTCATGCTTGGGGGCCCGTAGTTTGGGCCGCGTGTTTGCGGCGCCCAGGCCTGTTGGCTTCTTGCGCCGCGCGCGCAGGGATCGAGGTAGATCTCCTCGCGGCACCCACGCCCTCTAGCTGTGACGTGGCCGTGGGGTTGCAGCAGAAGTGGTCATCCCAAGCAACCATTAGCCGGCCGCGTTGCTAATTGGCTGTTCCCTTGTGAGCCCTAGAGAAAGGGATGGACCTGACTTTTCTTAGGTTTGGCTTCGCCCGGTATCGAATCCAAGAAAGCCCCTGCAAAACATTTCCTATCTTCCTTCCGCGCAGTTCAAGTGCTAGAAATGGGCAGGTCCAGATCTTGGACGACGTGCCCAAGACCCTGGTGGCACAGGCCCAGCTCTTCGCGTCAGCAGGCCTTCTGCTGGCTCCCAACGGGGGCTGGGCTCCCAACGCCGTGTTCATGGGCTCAGACGCCTGCCTGGTGGAACTGCACCAGCCCGGGCCCCGTGAGAGACTGACAGAAGCCTCAAAATTGATGAAAAATAAGCACGCGCGCAACAGTGCCACACGGTATGCAAATCAGGCTGCGCAACTATTGTTTCTGATGTTATGACACGCAAGTTGGTTGTGTGTGCTGTAGTATGATGGTATGTGTTTCATTCCCGAAAGAATCGCGAAGGGTTGTTCCGTGCGGAGCCCTTGGACAAGTTACATAGAGCCAAGTTTCACACAGCCAAGTGGCGCAGAGCCAAGTTGCACAGAGCCAAGCTGCACAGAGCCAAGTTGCACAGAGCCAAGTTGCGCAGAGCCAAGTTGCACAGAGCCAAGTTGCACAGAGCCAAGTTGCACAGAGCCAACTTGCACAGAGCCAAGTTGCACAGAGCCAAGTGGCGCAGAGTCAAGTTGCACAGAGCCAAGTGGCGCAGAGCCAAGTTGCCCAGAGCCAAGTGGCACAAAGCCGAGCTGCGCAGCGCCAAGTGGCACAGAGCCAAGTGGCACACAGCCAAGTTGCACAGAGCCAAGTCGTAGAGCTTCGGCGTAAGCAGCTATGTAAGTTAGTTTAGGTTTCTAAGACGCCGGGGTGGGAGTTTGATCATCGTTCGGGATTGCGACCCTCTGCGGAGATTCGCGTGGTCAATGTTAAAAAACTGAGGACTTGTTAGGGTTTCTGCGCTGCGCGTGCGACCCTCTGCGGAGATTTGTTGCTTGTGCACACTGCTTCGCGCCACGTATCCCGGCACTACCCTACTCGACAACTGAAATTCTTAAACCTACACTTACACACGCAAAACACACGTCTAGGCAACCCATTTCTAGCACGCAGCAATCGCGTTGCAGCATTGCCTCATGACCCATGTGCAACGCTATGCCTCATGACCCATGTGCAATGCAAAGCGGCGAGCGTGAAACTGCGCAATCAGGCCGGCGCACGCAACGCTGCGCGCGCCGCTGTGCAATCGCTTCGCCCTCGCTTGACCAATGCAAAATGTTAGATATTTATGTCTCTCTCTCACTCTCTCTCTCTCTCTCCCTCTCTCTCTCTCTCTTTCTCTTTCTCCTTCTCTTTCTCCTTATCTTTCTTTTTCTCTTCCTCTGTATCTGTCTTTTTCTCTTTCTTTTTCTTTCTCTTGATCTCTTTCTTTCTCTTTTTTTTTTCTCTCTCTCTCTCTCTCCCTTTATCTCTTTCTCTCCTCTTTCTCTCTCTCTCTCTCTGTCTCTCCCTTTCTTTCTGTTCCTCTTTATCTTTATTTATCTTTCTCGTTCGCTCTCTCTCTCTCTCTCTTTTCTTCTCTCTCTTTCTCTCTCTGTCTCTTTCTCTCTCTGTCTCTTTCTTTCTTTCTTTCTTTCTTTCTTTCTTTCTTTCTTTCTTTCTTTCTTTCTTTCTTTCTTTCTATTATTATGTTTTTTCTCTCTCTCTCTCTTTCTCTTTCTCTTTCTGTTTCTCCCTCTCTCTTTCTTTCTTTCTTTCTTTCTTTCTTGCTTTCTTTCTTTCTTTCTTTCTTTCTTTCTTGCTTGCTTGCTTTCTTTCTTTCTTTCTTTCTTTTTTTCTTTCTTTTTTTCTTTCTTTTTTTCTTTCTTTCTTTCTTTCTTTTATGTTTTTTCTCGTTCTTTCTCTTCATCTTTATGTTTCTCCCTCTTTCTCTTTCTCTTTCTTTCTTTCTTTCATTCTTTCTTTCTTTCTTTCTTTCGTTCTTTCTTTCTTTCTTTCTTCTATTATTCTTTTTTTTCTCTTTTTCTTTCTCTTTCTCTTTCTCTTTCTGTTTCGCAAGGCGGAGCTGCGGGAGTGTACTTCGCGTACTACTTTTCTATTAAAGATGTGCAATTCTCAGGACGGAGTTGCGGGAGCGCGCTTCGCATACTACTTTTCTATACTTAAGGCTTCCGATTCTCTGCGAATGTAGTTCGCGTACTACGCGTGCTACTTTTGTACTTAATTTTTGCGAAAACAGCCAACACACACACAATCTCCGCAGAGGGTTCGTCGGCGAAGTCGATAATTCGCACGGCGCCACAGCGAGAGCGATCCGACGCGCGCAATCTCCGCAGAGGGTTCGTCGGCGAGCTTTGAGATTCGCACGGTGCCTCAGCGAGAGCGATTCGACACGCGCAATCTCGCAAAGGGTTCGCGGGCCACGTCGAAAATTCGCACCTCGCCACAGCGAGAGCGATCCGACACACGCACAATCTCCGCAGAGGGTTCGTCGGCAAGCTTTGAGATTCGCACGGCGCCACAGCAAGAGCAATTCGACATGCACGATTCCCGTAGGGGGTTCGTCCCCCCCAGCGCCCGCCGAAGAAAGAAGATAGAGTTAAAGGGCTGCGAGCTTCGGCTGCGTGTGCTGGGCTGCGTTAGTCAGGCTGCGTGAGTCAGGAAACGTGAGTCAGGCAGCGTAGGTCAGGCTGCGTAAGTCAGTTTGAGTAAGTAACGCTGCTTAAGCGTAGGCTGTGTAAGTCAGGCTGCGTAAGTCAGTTTGAGTAAGTCACGCTGCTTAAGCTAGGCTGCGTAGGCTGTGTAAGTCAAGCTGCGTAAGTCAGTTTGAAGAAGTCACGCTGCGTAAGATTGGCTGCGTAAGGGCTGTGTCAGTCATGCTGCGTAGCCGGCGGCCTCTTTTTCCAAAGAGCCCTTCGCCAAGCTTGCGGGAAAAACTGGGGCCCTTTTTGCGCGCAAACTTCCGCGGAGATTCGCATGGTCGAAGTTAAGAAACTGAGGATTTTTTACAGTTTCTGCGGTGTTTTAAAAAACTGAGGACTTTTTAGCTCTGCGTGCGACCACCTCTGCGGAGATCGTGTGTGTCGAAGCGCTCTCGCTGTGGAGACACGTGCGAGTTCGTCTTAGTCTCGGCGAAATCTTTGCGGAGACCGTGCGCGTCGAAGCGCTCTCGCTGTGGCGCCATGCGTTTTTCTTGCTCACGATGGGGCCTTTGGATGTTTCGTGGATTGCGCCCCTGGTTCCCGTGCCCGCGGCCGTGGGTTTAACTCCCCCTGGTCCGCGGCAGTTCCGGCTCAAGCGCAGCCGTTGTATGCGGAGTGTACTCTTGGTAGCTCCGGCTGGAAACGCGCAACTTTAAATCACAGACCTTTAGTGCGAGGAGCACCTCCACTGCTCAGCTCAGGCTGAGCGTCTTGCGCACAAAGTTGGTTGCGTAGAGCCAACTTTCTCAGTTGCGCAGAGCCGTCTTGCATTGCTTTGCTGAAACTGTTGCCGTCGTGCAGCGCAGCTCGCGCAAAGCGCATTGCGCTGATCAGACTCGCGCAGAGCCAACTCGCGCAGAGCCAGCTGCGCAGAGCCACTCGCGAAAAGTAGCTTGCGTAGAGCCAACTTTCACAGAGCCAAGTTGCGCAGGGCCATCTTGCACAGAGCTAAGTTGCACGAGCCTGCTTTACAGAGACTGTGGCCGTCTATGCTTTCAATGTAGCTTAGTGGCAACTTGCGCTGTGCTTCGGCATGTTGATGAATGTACTGTGCTGTTGCGCAAGCTTCACTGGCGCAATGTAAGGTCATGTGAAGCGAGGCGCAATGGTGGCATGCTGGCTCAAAAGCGGGGCCAGCGGGAACAGGTGCTGAACAGCCCACATAGCCTAATGAGTCTAACGCGATGTGATGTAAACGCAATGCTGTAAAACTATGAAACACAACACCAGCCAAAAACAAGCACGCGCCGGCCAAACAAACCGCGCGCTGCCCCCACCTTCCGCTGCCCCACTTCTGAGCATGAAGAAGTCAGGTTTTGCAGCACTTCAGTGTGTTGATCGTCGAATCTCCGCGCAGGGCCCCTCGACCTTTTGAACGTGCTGCGTTTCGCATGTTGCCGCGCGGTCAGCGCATCGACGCACAGGATCTCCAAAGTGGTTTGGCCAACCTGTCCTCCAAAGAGGTGCCCGTGGTAGAAAACACGCTGGGCAAGTCGCACTGTGCAAATATCGCTGCGCAAATAGTAGTTGCAGAGCTGGCGCTACCCCGGATTCTACACTTTCTTGGGCAAAACTGCACCAGTGGTTGGTTCGACAATAATGCTCGCACGATCCAGGCTTGCAAAGAATTTGCCTTCGCCAGAATTCTTGGTGCTACGCGTGTCACGACGCAAACTCCAGCTGTACTGCCATTGGTCACCTCCCAATCTTTCTTTAAGCACACCATGAATCCTTTTGCCACTCGGCGCTTTGCTCTACGCTTCCTCGCTGTTCTTCTTCTTCTTCTTCTTCTTCTTCGGACACGCCTTGCCCCCTTCATCCACATCAACCACATTGCGTACCATAGCCCATTCTTCGGGAGTGCGACAGGATGGCTTGCAAGTGGTTGCCCAAGTAAAGCTGCGCAAGCAAATCGCTGCCGCGTGTGGAATAGAACCCTTTGTGGTGCCTCGAAGGAACAGACAGGTGACATAGCGCAATATGATATGGTGCAGTTTCGATCATCGAAAGGACCTATTCTTGGCTATCCGCACACTTGCGGTCTGGAAATAGTATTTTTTGATGGCTAAAGAATAGCACATTTGTTCTAGCTGGAGGTGTTGCCGAGCTTCTAGGTTTTGCCTTGGATTTGCCCTTCACTCCAACACGAGAATATAGATATGTCCCCCTTATGCTTTGTCGGTTTGGTTTTCAGACAGTCAAACAAACAAGTTTGCAAAATAGGTCCGGGGAGGCTCTGCACCATTGGACCATTCTGCTCTTCAAGTTATGGCGAAATATGTGACGATGATAGCTGCCCTTTTTTGTGAAAGTGTTCCCAGTGGTGTTGCGCAGGTTAGCTTTAGGAGCCACCATCAAACATGCTGAGCCCGTTGTTGTTTTTTATAGGGGCCGCTATAGTTTGCTTTTGAGGTTCTCTAGTATGGCAATTGTTTTTGCCAACTCCAAGACATGTGAACAACGTGGTTTCATTTTTGGGAACAACACATCGAAGCCTTAGATCTAGAAAATCCAGTTTCGCACGTGGTCCCAAAACTATCAATCCCTACACAAGGCAAAAAGCGAAAGCAACAAGGCCGAACAGTCGCAAGCAGGGGGTTGCCCACGGGAGCCCCCGACCCTTCAATCCGACTTGTGTGAGTTCTCGTTAGTGGCACGTTGTTGTTGTTGTTTTTTTTGCTCAGAGGCTAAAGGCATTAAAGCTAGGTAACAAACCATCATTTGTTTATATACACCACTAAAAACATGCCAAGCCATCACATACTGGTCGCCCGCAGGCTGCAGGAGCCCCTGACCCTCTTGAATCTGACTGCATTGTGGTCCTTCTTAATGGCAAGTGTGTTTTGGCGAAGCTCTTCCCAGCTTAGAGGCTAAAGGCCTGAGATCTAGGCAATAAAGACAGTTGCCAGTACTAAATGAATCGCAGGAAATTTAAAATTAAGGCTTCGCAATGCTAAATTTAAGATAAAGCCTTGGCAATACTAAATAAACACTGGGAATTTAAGATTAAGCTTTGGCAATATTGAACAAGTTGTAGCAATATCAAATTAACGACTTGAATCTACGATTATGTCTTGGCAAAACTGAATTTGATACTGGCAGTGCAAAATCAAGTAAAGCCCAACCCACCCCCAGTTTCCGATTGAAGAGGGTCAAAAGGACTGCTGGTACTGTTTGAGGAGGGGATCGATTCAAGCAGGTTCCACATTTATTAGCGCTTGCGGCGTGTGGGGCAAGTGTTTCCTTTTTCGAGTTGTGTTGGCTGCGACAGGCATGATTTCATTAATCACACGTGCGGGCCCCAGTCCCGAAACAACCCCAAAATACGCACATTTGTCGCTCGTGTCAAAACTTCAGTGACACAGTTAGTTTTAGTTTGACACAAGATTTGACACGGCCAGTTTTGGAAGCTACAAAAGCGTAACGGAATAGTTTTTTTCGAACGTTTCAAGTCTCCAAAACGCACCGGAAACGGAGCCCCTGACACAAGCAGGGCCGTGTCAAAACTTGTGTCAAAACTCCCGACGAGCGCGGAAAAATGCAAATCAAGTCAAACAAGTCACCAAGCAGGCCCGTTTCAATCCTTGTGTAAAAACTCCCCGTGCCAAAACTTGTGTCAAAACTTTGGCAGAACTGCCGTGTTAAAGCTTTTCACAACCTACGAAAAAGTTTTGAGAGGGGGGAGTTTTGAGACAAGTTTTGACACGGCCCTGTTTTGTGACTTGTTTTCTGTTTTTGCATTTCCCGCGCGGGTCGGGAGTTTGAACACAAGTTGTGAGACACGTTTTGACACAATCGTCAACTTACAACTTGTGTGGTTATGTACGTCATTTGTTGACTTGGCATTTGTTTTAACACGCAAGTGTTGATGCACTTTTTGGCACAAGCTGCGACGCCCAGTTCATCTTATAGGCTGCTTGGGATTCCTGCCTTTTCCTGTGACTTCAGTTCGGTCCCCTCCCCTGACCAAACAGCGCCAACAGTCATGTTCACCCTTTTTGGTCAGAAATTTGCGGGGCCTGGGTTGGACTTTACTTGGCTTAGTGTTGCCAAGAGTGAAGTTAGTATCGCCAAGACTTCATCTTAGACTGCCAGTACTCAATTGCGTGCTGCCACGACCTAATCTTAGATCGCGAGCATTGAAGGCAATACTAAAAGTAGTATTGCCAAAGCTATATCTTAGATTCCCAGTATGTAGTTTAGTAATGCCAAGAAATCTTAGATTCCCAGTAGTTAATTTAGTAATGGCAAGGCCAACTTTCGTATTGCCAAACAAAAAACAACACAATATTGCGTGACATTGAGGCGGCCCCCCAAAACAGTCAGACTAAAGAGGAGCAGGGGCTCCTGCGGGCAACCCCCTGCGTGTGAGCGCCTGGCCTTGTTTTTGTTGATGCAGCTAGGTCTAAGGTCTTTAACCATTGCGCTGGGAATAATTTAGGGGAACCAGGCTAAGGCTTTGATCTGGAAATTGCCACCCTATCCAAACAAACTTGATATTAAAGAGGGCGCCAAAAAGTCAGATCAAAGAGGGTCAGGAGCTATGGGATTTTGGGGGCCACTTGTAAAAGTAGAATTTCTAGATCTAACTGCTTCCCAAGAGAAGGCTCGCGGTTGTTGACCGGTTTTCCACCTTGGGGTGGCGCAAAATTAGAGGACCCTAACATAGCCCCAAAATCCTGAATTGGGAAGAACACTTTCTATAATAGCGGCCTCAATGAAAATAAGCTTGTCCATGCGGCAACGATCCATTGCTCACACACTCAGGCACTCCTGCCAGAGACTCATGTGTCATTCTTAGCAACCAACAAACAAAACGCATATTTGTAGGCAAACAAAAGTTCTTAACTGTTACCGAGGCATCAGTCCTAGGTCAAATCTGGGGCAAAACCTTGAACAGTTAGAAATGTTTTTTGGGTTGGGAACAGCTGTCTGAACGCATTGTAGCGTGATGGTGCCGTGCGCAGGAAGGGGTAGTAAGCCTTGGTGCAGTCATGCAGTGTGAGGCGCAGTATTGATTCAACACTTTCTGAGGGCAAAGCGACTTAGGGTTATGAACGCGGGTCTGACTCCGAATGGGGCAGACCCGAATTCAATTGCAACTGTGTGTTCCTTCGAAACACCCCAAGAAAGGCCCGAAAAACAACTCGTATGAGCATGTCCGGTCACTCAATGTCTATCACGGGCCACCTGAGAACAGCAGGAGGCCCGACGTGCTCGTTCCCTTTGTCCCTTGTGTTACGATTTGGGCTTGTACATCGGAAGAAGGCTCATTGACGCAACAGGGGTTTACTGAGGATCCCACAAGCACACATGAGAAGAATCCTTGAACGCTGGCTGACCCAAGCACAGGTACAAGATGGACAGCTGGATCGTGATGTTTGGCCTTGCAAAGACTCTGGCTGAAGTTTTGCTGGTCGTCGGAGACTACAGGGACCCTAAGGCACAGAAAATCGTGCGCAGAGGGCGAGTGGGAGGCGATGACGACTTCCTCGTCACCGGCGCAAGGAACAACTTGTACACCGACATTTTCCGTGCGATGGCAAGCAGCCGCGTTTGCGCCAAGTTCCTAGCCAAAAAGGCGTGTTTATTGGACAGGTTCTTGATTCTTGGCAAAGGTTCAAGAACACTCCTTGTTGATTTGGGGGTTTTACTCATTGTTGAAACATGTAGCCGAATACGCCAACAATCATGTTCAGTTGTACAGTTGCGACTAATGTTCTGCTTTGGCTCAAGGAAAGAGGCGAGCGGGGAGGCAAGCCGATCCAGGAAAGAGATCCGTTTGGTTCTACGGTAAAATAGCAGCTGCCTTGCTCCTTTGTCGCTACTGGCGGCCTTTGGCTTAGGCTTGTCTGCTTCTTCTTTGCTCTCCAAGCTCCTCCTCAACTTTTATCCTGGCCACATGGCTGATTTTGATTCACCTCCGCTGCTCGCTCGTCCAGCTGAGGCTCCTCAAACAGGTCGACTTTCCCCCGCCCTTGGAAAGGAAGCCGCACCTATCGCTTCCTCAAGCCTTGGTCAGTCAGCAAAAAATGGAGTTGGACGGGAAGCGGGGGCGGCCGCTCTGACACGCAGCAAAAGTGCACTTCGGCTGGTAAGTGGCGCAGGAGCGCCAGCAGCGCTGGCTACCCCGAGCGCAGCAGCAGCGTCGCGAAGGCCTGGCCGGCAGTGCCGAAGAAGGTCCAGTTGCAGCAGCCAAGACGGAGCCGAGCCCAAGCAGGAGGAGAGAGCCCAGATTGAGGCGGTTTTGAAGCCCAAGAGGAAGCCAGCTGCGCCCAGGATCAAGCTCGTTGAGGCGAAGAGTTCGACCGGCCTAAGCGCACGTCGGCTTCAGTGGGTCTGAAGGAGGGTCCGGCCAGCCCTTCCAGAGCGCTGCGAGCGCGTCAGGGCGCGCCTATTGCCAATCTCATGGTGGGCATCGTTGGGAAGGAAACGATCAAGCAAGAGGACGCCGAGGCCTAGCGCGGAGAGCCGGATGGGATATCCCGTCTTGAGGATGCAGGGGGGGTTGTTGTCGTCATTGACTCGGGGAAACGTGTTGTTGGTTGCGCCAACGCGCACGAGGATTGGCGAAGGTAGGCGATCTCCAAAGTAACAGAGAGTCAAGAAGTGGGAACAGGTGCGTGCAGCTGTAGAGCAACTAAGTAGAGGAACTTTTCCAGTGACGAATCCCTGTTGATATAGGAAAACACCTCATACTCAACGAGCCGGGTGAGTCGGCTATGAAGGCCGAAAAGTTAGTGGTGGAAATGCACGCAGGAAGCAAGGGATCGGTTTCCAGACCCGGCACGGCCTGCAAGGTGCCCAACAGCCTTGGGCAGAGGCGCTGAATGTTGGAGCAAGAGGAAAGACGGATCAAGCACAGGCTCAAGCAGAAACTTGCAAATACCCCAAGCCCAAAGGGTAAGGGGAAAGAAAAGGAGCGAACTCGCTGGAGGAAGAAGATGGTCAGGGGCCCAAGAGGAGGGGCAGTTTGAAAATTTGAAGGAGGTTGAGTTGGGTGCACTGACAGCCGGAGACAGACTGCCAGTCAAAGAAAGATGCGAGGTCAAGACCAAGACGGCTGATCCGAAGGGCTGGCACGGGTATTGTCACAGAAGCCAGAGAGCATGGGCTTGAATGCTGGACGCAAATGCCGGGAGTCTGCTCCTGCAGGACCGCAAGGTTTCTGACAACATCTTGACGCTCATCGAGAAGAGACGAACAGGGCGCGTGCTAAGGCATGGAGTCCGGTGTGTCAGGAGAAGGGCGTCTACATTACATGCGGCCGCTGCCGGACTACTACCGTACCGGACAAGGAGTGAGACAACTCAAGGAAGGCGGGTGTCGGCCACGATGGCCATACCAGGTCAGCTTGAAGACAGGCGCTAACATCCGTTGGGTTGGGCGGCGGGCGGGATGGCCGAGGGCGGTCGCCGGGCCGTCAGTGCCGCTGCAGAAGCGGATTTAAACCAGAAAGGAGTATGTTGAGCAGTGTTCACCCACGGATGGTTGCCAGAACACGGAGGTATGCAGAGCAAGGATCGTAACTTTAAAACAGCGAGTCGAGGAAGGCAAGAACCGCTTAGAGGGGTTTAAAGACGAAGGAAAGAAGGTCAAGAAAAGCCGGCCCGTTTTTGACTGAAATCACGGCTACGCCATCGGCCTTGAAGAGATGAAGCCGATGGAACTTACGGGGAGTTGAGCAGGCCAACGGAGGATGCCACCAAGGTGGATAAGATCATCGAGCAGGATGCGCCAGCATCAACAAGAAAAGGGGCAGCCCGGATCAACGGAAGATTTGGGTGGACAAGGCGTGAGAACGTTTGCGCAACTCACGCCAGGGCCACGAGGGCTACCCTGGCACAGACATGTGCAACTCTTTGGTGGAGTTGCCAACCAGGTATCCATGGTCAAGGATGTCCTTCAGACAGTCAAGACTTGCCTTGGACAGAAGGGTGACAGTACGAACCTTTGTTCCAGCAGACTACATAGAGGAGTAACTGGGGTGAGATGGCTGGACATGAAAAAACATGAGAAGCCAAATTACTGGTCAAGGTTAGTTGCTCCAAGCAGCGAAGAGGAAGCAATTGCCACACAATCTACACTTTTCGCCCACGCCTCCGCTGGAAGCGATGCATTCTCTTTTGAGTTCTTCATCAACAGACCGAGTCTCGGCTAGAGGCCATCTCGCCTTAAGTTTGGACTACGGGACATCAGCAGACCGCGGCAGGCGAGGCCAACGAAGACGAGGCCATAACAAGACGTAGCGCATCCAGCTCGGTTGCCCTCTCTTACGGTAGCCACGCCGAAGCATTCGAGCACTGTTGCGCTGAGCGCGGGTGAGTCAGAATATAGCCCTGGTTGCACCACGCCTTGGCAAAGACCGCTGCGAAAGGCACGGTCAACCGCGCAGGCCTCGGGAAGGCGCGCCACGCACAGACTCGCTACCTTCGGTTGCAAGAGCACGTGGCGATGAACCATTTAAAAGTAGAACGCGTCCCGGGCAAGCGTATCAGATCCGACGTGCAGACAAAGTCAGTTCCCGGAGTTCGCATGAAGGACGCTCTGAGCCGCTCAAGATTCGTGTTTCTTCATGAGAAGCATAAAGGTCGGATGAGTTTTCTAGATTCATAAGGCCCCGACCCAGGCTCGGTCTGTAGTTGGCTGCGCGGGTGATGTCACACCCTCCAGCAAAGAGGAGCGTTGAAACATGTTGCCCGCTGCGCTAACAGTCATGTTGAGTTGTACGTTGCGAGTGATTGGCTCAAGGAAAAGAGTCCGCGCCGAACCATTTTCGCTCACCAACCTTGGCTCAAGCCATTCTTACCAATCCTGGCAGGACTGGTCCCAACTAGCGGTCCCCAAGAAAGCCATTGGGAGAACAACACTGAGCCGTTGCCACCGTTCTTGGAATGAGGGCCACTAACGCATCTCACACACAGCTCCATGTCTGGATCCTTGCTGAGTGTCCCGCATATGTTCCATCGAAGGATGGGTGCACAAATGCTATTTCAAAGCGGGACTTCCCAGAATTCGGCAAGAAAGCCCCGCACGGCCGTCCCTGTCAACCTGGTCAGGTGGTGGTCCGCCATGCGGTGCAGGACGACCACCGAGAGGAGGAGCTGCTTTTTAAGATGCTGGGCTGCTTTTTTTGGGCGTTAGCGCGTTGTCCTACCTTCGAAAAGTGGACAATCGCACAGACCACGAGGCTCACAGCGTCGTGTATTTTTCCCGAGCCATTCTGTTTTTCTAGCATGTCCCACTCGACTAACGCAAAGTAAGCAACTTGGAAACGTTGAATGGCTAGACCTTATGAAAGACATTGAGTCAGGATTTCAGTTTTCCCACTACTCATCCTGTCAAACAAACTGAAGAACTGTGTTGCTGCTAGGAAACATTGACTTGTTTGGTTGATCAAAACGCGAGCCCGAACACTCTAAAAATTTGGTGTGGAAGGCTACGGCAAGACCTCTCTTCAGCCTCCGGGGAGACGGGGCATCTTTCGCAGCGCGAAGATTGCCGAATAAAGGAAAGACTATGGACAGAGCTGCCCGTGTAGTCTTCCTGTGTCTCTTCCGGGGGGGTTTCCTGTAGTTTGCTTGTAGTCGTCTTTAAGTTTTCTGTAGCTTGTAGTCTTGCGATCTTGGCGGCTTCATGGTTTGTAGAATGTGTTTCTAGATGTTATTTTCTTTTCTACTTGCTTGCATGCGCAAACAAAACGAGCGGGTTGACCATGAAGAAAATGAGAAAGATAGATAAACAAAAGGCACATTCTCTAGTCTCCCAATTGGTGAGAAATACAAAATGAAGCCCGCCGGATATTTCATCTTACGCCTAGGATTTAGATGATCTTACTGGAGGCTATCAAAAGGGAAGTTCCGTGTTTGCGGCCATTAGTTGAAAGCTTTAGCTCAGCTCTTTGGACAGATGACGCAGGCATAAGAACACGGGCAAAACTGCGGCGCGCGTGGCAGGGGAATGGAAATGCTGAAGCTTGCAAGCCTCTTCAGGTTTTGGTCTTAGGTTAGGGGGCGAGGGCTAAGCAGGCTCTTCCTGTAGTTAGAAACAAAAAGGGTACCTTGACCAAATGTGCTTGTATGCACAAGAAAATAGCACCACAGGGCACTTTGATTGATCATTAGTTTTTAAACAACTACAAGAAGCAAATCGGCCCAACGTTCCAGAGCACAGGCTTTGCTCAAGTCTTGTAGACTTCTGTAGTGTTGCTGGACAGCCTCTCCTGGACAACTGGGTGGCGCAAACAGGGACATAAGAAGTGTTTCCGTTTTTCCAATTTTCGTAGACACGCTAGTGAATATCTGGGCATGAACGTGCTTGTTTCAGTTCGCAAGTGAGTTAGAACACACATAGACCACATCGGAAGCCTTGACTGATTAAAGGCACCAGTTGGAACGACTTGATTTCCTACAAAACTTGCAATAGTTGGTCGGTCTTCCTGCCATCTTGTAGATGTCCTGCAGTCTTCCCAGTCGAACGTACAGAAAAAGATTGCAGGCTTTCTTGATTTTCGCACCGAAACTAGAACAGGTAGCAAACGCACACAAACACAAGAATCGTTGTTGGATTATGGTGTGTTTCTCAAATAGAACAGTTGGAAAAATGGGCCCCAACATTCGGGAAGGCGACAGGACTGCGGGACGACTACAGGAAGACTACCCGAGGACAACGGGTAACACAACTGGTGACGCCCTTCCAACTCCTCTCTACGTCCCCTGCCTGTGGCTGCGCAGGAGGCGCGCCTTACCGTCAAGGGCAACGCTACCATGAAAGCGGTGAAGGAGGCGTAGCGTCTAGCTTTCAGCGAGCTCCGAGCCTCTTCACAGCAGGTGTGCGTCTGCGCCTTTTCATTGTCAAACTTAAAATTGCCGAAAACCCCGCTACGAGAAGCGCAGGTGCCTCGTTTTGGAAAGTTTTCACCTTCCGCTGCGTGAGCCTGGAACGCCCTGTTCGTGAGGCGCTGGTTGCACACGTGGGCAAGCCGGAGCTTTTGCACAGCTGTCGCTTGGTGCAACCCGTGGGGGACAACGGCGCCTTCTCCTCCTTCAAGGCCTGAGACACGCGCAGACACACGCAAACAGAAACACAGACCTCAGAGACACAGATAGACAGGGAGGGAGAAGAGAGAGAGAGAGAGAGAGAGAGAGAGAGAGAGAGAGAGAGAGAGAGAGAGAGAGAGAGAAAGAGAAAGAGAAAGAGAAAGACAAAGAGAGAGAGAGAGAGAGAGAGACACAAAGAGAGAGAAGGAGAGAGAGGAGAGAGGGAGAGAGGGAGAGAGGGAGAGCGGGAGGGAGGTAGGGAGGGAGGGAGGGAGGGAGAGAGGGAGAGAGGGAGAGAGGGAGAGAGGGAGAGATAGGGCGAGAGGCCTTGCGCTCAGCTATCTTCACGAAGCCCATCAGGAAATGTGCGTGAAGCAGACTGCAGGTTTGACTGTTTGCGGTAACAACACTACAGCGCTTGCACTTGTAGCAATAGTCAGTTGGGTTGCAACGTGGCAGCAAAACTGAGATCCTGCAACTGCGTGGCAGCACGTGCCAAACTACTACGACACGTTAGGAGAACCAGCAGCGTCAGCTCAGTGCGCTACAGGGACAGACAATGGGCCAACAGCAGCAGAGACACTAGGAGCCACGACCGTGGGAACAGGCGGGAACAGGAGCTACGCAAGCGCAAGACAGCGACGTCCAAAGACTACACACAGACAGATTGCCTTCCCATTCTTCAATGGCGACTACTCGCCTATCTCGGACTCATGGACCAAGACTTCGACCTGGTACTACAAGGAGCACAAGCGGCCACGCAACAAGTTGAGAATGCAAATATCAGAGCCCGCGCAAGTCGCAAAAGCAGTAGACCTCGCAAGAGACCTACGCTGCATTCTCACCAATATGTCATGGAGCAGCAGTTACAGTAGTACGAAAACCGCTACAGCGCAAACGGATGTGAAACTATGGACGTTGGCAACATTTAGAGAAAGATCATCACACACAACGCCATGGAATGATTGCAGCAACAACCACCAACAGTACTTCCAAGAGGACACGCGCAACTACACGTCGACATAGCAGCAGCAACGCAAAAGCAGAAACGCTGCAAATTGATGACAACATCTTATCATCACCTGCTGATTGACTCAGGAGCCTCCACACACGTTTGCCCAAAGGATACGCGCCAGGTTTGCCAATACGACCTTGCGAAGACTCAGCTCCGCAACTCTGCGCTTGTGACCAACAAGAGGACTCCTGTCTACGGCATCAAGCGTGAGGCCGTTTTACAATTGTGACATGAAGCGTCCTACCTGAGGGCACCAAGGCTTCTTAATAGAGGATCCGGACTTGGCTTCAAGCCACGGCGCTGCGCCATCAAACACGGACAACAACAAGCACACCTAACCAGACAAGGACTCGTCTACCTATGAGCAGAAAAGGTCGAAACCCAATGAAAATTCAACCTACACAGAGACCAAGGACTAAGACGAATCCTTGGTGGAAACACTGACTACTGGAAACTCGACGGTCACTTGAGCGCGAAGCGCTATTCGCCTCACACAACAGCGGCTGTCCAACACCGCAAGAACAACTACATGGTTGGCGACTGACCATTATGAACAGACAAGGACAAGAACAAGAAAACTGCAAGAGAACGCCAGTGAACTTTCCAAACAAAAATTACAAAAAAGACTTGAAGGTGATGGCTGGGCTGGAGAAACCAGATTCCGAAGAAAAGTCACACCTACGGGCCGGATGACAACAAAGACGACACCAGCTCGACAAAGTTCTTCGCCGCAAACCACAACAGAGACACCCCCGGCAAGACGAAAGCTACAACTGCGGACTCCACAAGAGATATGGAGACCCAAAGCAACACCTTCCGCAGAGCTAGACACTACACGACCAACAGCAACAACACGCAGACCGCCAACAGCGCAAGAAGACAACCAAGACCTCTGGGAAAGACAAGGTGAAAACTGGATAAGACGCCGTACAACACTACGACCAACACTGTTCACACCTACAGATGGACCAGGACACCCACCCGTTAACACACTGAAACCTTTCATAACTACACTTGCCAACAACAGCTTCGGCGAAGTTTCGCAATGCAAAGACGACTGGACAGTCGTTTGGCAACCCAGCACTACCGTTCCTATGGAAAGGCGCCGCAAGGTTCACCATCAGGCAAGACCACCAACACCTACAATAGGACTACGACCCGGAACAACACCACAAACGCCACGAAGCACACAAAGCAAGAGGACTACGACAACCTCAACAACCAACTCCACAACCAACAGCAGGCAACAACCTAACACACGTAGCATACCGAAACTGGTGTCCAGTTTGCACAAGGCGCAGGACGCCAAGACAACTGCAAGAAGCACCATACGCGACAACCCATCATTCAAGTAGATTTCGCGAATCGCAACAGGACCCGAAGACCGTACCAGTCTTATCTGCAGTTGGTGTCGCTACACAACTGTGCATGGTGGTTGTTGGTTCCGGGGATCGCGCCGTCGTTTTGATGTTTGAGTTTCGAGCGGCGCGGAAACTCAGTCTGACAGCTTGTTGTGGTCATCGTCATGGCAAGCCATCACTGACGGACCACATGACCAGCAACCTACGACCATTCACCTTTGAGCGTGGAAGAACGCACGGCGTACTTCAAAGCGACAACAGAGACAACGCGCTTTGGAACTACTCAAAGCAAAGGCGGCTAAAGTCGGCCCAATCGCTGTACGACATTCACCTTCCTACAGCAGCAACAGTCAAGGAAGCGTCAGGCTTCTTGGACAAACGAGTGCACACTACCTTACCTTCAACCGCAACACAAGAAACTGCCGAAAGCAGATCTCCGAATGCAGACATGCGCCTGGCTCGGAAAAGTTTTCGAAACAGAAGAAAACTACATTGCGACAGAACAAGGCGCACTAAAAGCAAGAACAGTACGACGATTACAGCCGGACTTCAACTGCGACCTAGCGCTACTTAACAAGACCACTGGCGCGCCTTGAGCGCCGTGAGGCAACACCTACAACCCGTCGTTCGCAACTCCTCAAGGCGCCGAACAACAAACCAATGTCGCAGACGACGCAGTCGCAGAACCGGCAACGAAACAACAACGCACTACGTCACCTCTACAACTTCCGTCAACCTCGGGGTCAACTTCACGATCGCTACCCGGCAGTCCTATGGCTACTTCACCGACCGGACGACAACACCCACCGCTGCCAGCACCACCACTTCGACAATCGCTACGTCGTATGACTCCGGAAGAAGTAACGCAAACAACAAACAAGCCAAGGCGCAGCAGACCTCAAAGACACTACACTCCGATCAACGGAAGAAGCTGCCAAAGAACCACCGCCACGACGACAC